ATACATATATATATATATATATATGTGATTATTATTAATAATTTTTATTAGTATTTTTTATCACTGTTAATATTATTATTATTCTCCAAAAAGCCGCAGTACATCAATGAAGCTTTCCTCCACCGTCCCTTCTGTTTACATGAAGGAGCAACATCTGCTTCATTTTTTTCCCTCAAGCACGAGAAAGGCACAAAAATGAGAGTAATTTATTTTTTTTATTTACGCACACATTTTAAATAAAGTTGGCAGTAAAATGTGATTATAAGTTAAAAAATATAAGGAGTAAAAATATTTTAGTCATATAACAAATTTTTGAATTTAAAAAACACACTAGAATTTTATATTTAATTTTTTTTACTATTAATTTAAAAAATTATCATTTTATAACATTGTTTGTTCAAATGTTATAAGAAGTTTTTTTTATATATATAGAATAAAATCCCCCTTATAAGTACTAATGTTATAGGCGGTGTGGTGTGGTAGTTGAAGGTGCACCGTAAGGTTGTGCAAACTTGTGAACTTAAGTTTTTCGGGACTGTCGGCCACGAATCCCACAATAAATAGCCTTCTTCTGCTTCTACATGGGGTTTGTCTCTGCAGAAAGATAAGCAAACATAGAGAAGTAACAGAGAGTACAAAACTTGTCATTTTTCTTCTATCTGAATAAGTGTTTTGTGTTTTTTTTTTTTTCTCTTTCATTGATTTTAAATTGGAAATTGGAACTTATCTAACATGATGAATGTTGAAATCTTTTCAAAACTTTCTTAAATAATCTGACCATTTGTTCTAAGATTTAAGTTATGTGAGCGGGAGAAATCCTTATGAATTGTTGATTTAATAATTCTTGAATTTAACCAATAATCAGGTTGAAACACGAGTTATTAAAATAATAATGGATCTAGGGCATGGACATGGTGAAATTGGATTCTTCAAGCATATCAAGACACAATTTCTTTCTTTCTTTTATTTTTCATTGCACTTCATCTTCTCTCCTTTGATGAAGTAACCAGGCATTTTTTTAATTATTTTTTTGCAATCGATGCTAACTTGTAAATTAACAAAAAATCTTACTTGAAGGATCATTTGAATTCATGTTTTCTAAAGAGTGACATGGTAATATATTAGATTCATATTAGTAGGATTTAGTAAATCTTATAAATCCGGATTTAGTAAATTCTTTAAATATTATTTGGCAATGGATTTGAAAATTTTAGTTAAATCCAGTCAAGCTCTTTGACAACTTTTGTGAGGATTTAAAAATTTGCTATGTTTTTTGTTATTATAAAAAAATATATATTATTTTATAATTAAAAAAAAATTTATTAAACTAAATTGAATTAAATATCAATTTAGTTCTAATTATGTTAATTAATAATTAATGATTTACTAAATTAATTTAACATATACTATATTAATTACATATTAAATAATAATTTAACATTAATTTTAAACAAATTAATTATTAATCATATATGTTAAGAAATTCTTAAAGTTTAATTTATTTTATATTAATTAATTAACTATTAAATATTATACCTCAAGTTATTTAATTATTATTAATTTAAAATTTTAATTACTAATTATTATTACTCAATTAAAATAATAAAACTAACTTAAATAAATAAAATAAAATAAAATAAAATTGCAAACTTATCGCCTCTTCCCTCTCTCCTCTGTCTGCCCAAAATCCTCGCCTACTTAACTCCCCCTCTCGCTGCCTCTAAGTTTCGCCCAAAACTTTCTCCTTCATCACCAAACCCTCACGATACAGTTGCGATCAGAGATAACTGGTAAGTCAACGATCCATATTTTCTGAAATCAGACAATGATCTCATGATTACTGATTTATTTGATCCTTGTGAAGAGATGGCATCAGCTCATGGTACTCCAGGACTAGGTTTTGTGCTGAGTAATAAAGGATGCCTCGCCGAAGCTAAGTTATGCCACACTAGTTTCTTGCCTAGATTTCAAGCAACTAAGCAAGCCTCAAAATTTTTGGAGAAGGAAACATGCCACAATTTTAAGAGCTGGAGTACAAGAGCTACTCTGACCTTTGATCCGTCGACTGAACAAGCAAAGCTGAAAGAGAGGAGACACACTCTTGATCCAGCCGCTCCAGATTTTCATCCATTTCCATCCTTTGAAGAGTGCTTTCCAAAGAGCACGAAAGAGTACTGGCATGTTTCTGATCAATTTTCTGTTTATGCAGTTTGCCAAAAATGATTTCTGAAATGAAGCTTTCAATATAATCACAGCACTTTTTTTTAATTTTTTTTTAATATAGATACTGTATATGCTGGTAATGATTCTGCAGGGAAGTTGTTCATGAGAGAACTGGTCATGTGTTGAAGGTACCATTTCGACGGGTTCATCTCTCAGGGCACGAGCAATACTTTGATACATATGATACTAGTGGTCCGCAAAATGTTAACCCTCGAGTTGGTGAGTATGCTCTCAATTGTTGTGATTTTCCTGATGCATTGCATGCACTAGCATAGACGCATACATCTCTCCCCACACCTAGACATAATAACGGTAATATTTTGGAACAATGCTTACCTCATGCCAGAAAAATGTTGTTATAATGTTTTATCTTTGAAATATAAATTCATGCATGCACTTACCCATGGTTTTCATTCCATGGCCGGTATGTCGATAGCATGATTTCTGTGAATTTTGTCCATCTGACCGACAACATTTTAAGTACATTGATTAAGAATACTTACTTGAAAGATCTGAACTTTGATCAACTGAAGCAGTTTTGTGCTCCTCAGATACTATCTGCATCATATACTGTTTTATACCTACCGAAAGTCATTTTTAATTAATATCAATGTAGAAGCTTCTGTTAGTTTATGATGTTTCTTTAATTTGTAATCATATACAGGTCTTCCCAAGATTCGGAAGGATTGGATCGACCAGAGAGAGAAGCTAGGTGAACCCAGATGCACACAGATGTACTATGCTAAGAAGGGTCTCATTACAGAGGAAATGTTGTTCTGTGCCACTCGTGAGAAGCTTGATCCTGATTTTGTGAGATCAGAGGTTGCTCGCGGAAGAGCTATCATCCCTTCCAACAAGAAACACCTTGAATTGGAACCAATGATTGTAGGTAGGAACTTCTTAGTCAAGGTGAATGCTAATATTGGCAATTCTTCTGTGGCGAGTTCTATTGAGGAAGAGGTGCATAAAGTTAAATGGGCCACCATGTGGGGTGCCGACACAGCCATGGATCTGTCAACGGGTCGATACATTCATGAGACACGTGAATGGATTCTTCGTAATTCGGCTGTGCCTGTTGGAACTGTTCCAATTTACCAAGCATTAGAAAAAGTGAATGGTGTTGCTGAAAATCTTACATGGGAGATTTTTAGAGATACTCTTATTGAACAAGCTGAGCAGGGTGTTGATTATTTCACCATCCATGCTGGTGTGCTGCTTCGCTACATTCCTCTTACAGCAAATAGAATGACTGGAATTGTTTCACGTGGAGGATCCATTCATGCAAAATGGTGTTTAGTTTATCACAAAGAGAACTTCGCTTATGAGCATTGGGATGATATACTTGACATTTGTAATCAGTATGACGTGGCACTGTCTATTGGTGATGGACTTAGGCCCGGTTCCATACATGATGCTAATGACACCGCACAGTTTTCAGAGCTTTTAACACAGGGTGAGCTTACGCGCAGGGCTTGGGAAAAGGATGTGCAGGTATTTAAAATCCATATGAATTAGTTTGATCATTTACTCTTTTCCCAACATTAATGTGTTTTCTCAATATTATTCAAGAATTATTTATTCATCAGTTTGATTATTTTACTGAGCTAGGTAAGTTGGTCCTAGATATAGGTGTTTGCTTCCATGTTCTTCATTCATCAACTTACGATGATGGTTTCAATGATAGTGGTTAGTTATGTATCTATGACTAAATATTATTTTTTTGCATTGGTTATTTTTTATTAATTTTTTTAGTTATTTTTATACCATTATTAAAATAAAGTTTTTATGCTTCTGGTAGCTTGGTTGGTCATGTGTTAGACCGCCGCCTACGACGCTTTTTGCCTCCTGCTCCACCGAGTCAACACCAAGCCGGCCAAATAATTTGAAGACTTATGTTAGGCTCAAGACTAAAATGACAATTTTGTACTTATTGTGGGGTATAAATAGGGTTTAATATGTTTAGATTTAGGTCGTGTGCTACTGTTGTCTTGAATCTAGAGTTAGGGTTTGGGAGATATTACCTACCTCTCAAATTGTAGGTGGTTATCTTTTTTGTATTCGGGATTGTATCGTTTTGATTTGGTACTGACATAATATAATCTATTATTTATGTCCTAAATTTTTGAGAAAGTTTGTTCGTTCCTACCAAATTGGTATCCGAGGAACATCTTGGAGTAATGGTGATGAAATCGAGATTCAATCACGATTCGAGCTAGCTAGGAAGCCAACGACAGGATTGCAAAGTATAGGGTTCCTCCTTCATGATTGAACAACGTGGCATTCATGATTCAAGCTAGCTAGGACGACAAGGATATGATTGCAGTGTACAAGGTTTTGCTTTCATGATTGAACATCGTGATTCAGTCGCGATTCAAGTTGACAGGAAGTCGACATCGTGATTGCAACGTACAGGGTTCTGCCTTCGTGGCCTAACCTCGCGATACAATAGCTAATCGAAATAGCTAGGAAGCTAACGACGAGATCATGGCATATGGGGTTCCGTCTTCGTGTTTAAACACAGTGATACAATCACCATTCGAGCTAGCTTAGAAGCTAACAATTGGATCACAACATACAAGCTTCCACATTTGTGGGCCGAATCTCGCGATACAATCACAATTTGAGCTAGCTGGGAAGCCAACGAAGGGATCAGACCACGTGACCAAACCTCGCAATACAATTATGATTTGAGCTAGTTGAGAAGGCAATGATCCAATGATGAGATTGTGCTATACAAGAGTTCTGTCTTTGTGATCAATAACCGTCTTGGGAGCATGACGGCCCTAGAAGAATTTATGAAGAATATCGTGAAATTTCAACCAAACCCATTGCTGTCTGCCTCAGCATTAAGCGACGACATCCGGAACGGATGCAAGTGGCAACAATTAGAAGATTCACGCGACATGCGCAACATCCTTAGCTTACGCGGATTTGGAGCCACGAGTCCGAGTGAAGGAATTTAGGTTGGATCGAGCGAAGGGGTCAGAAATGGATTCAAGCGGCTATATCTGGGCGTTTGGAATGAGCATCAACAAGCGTAATGGGAGGGCGTTTGGTTCAATGCTAAAGAAGATCGATTCAAAGAATTTTAAACTGGAATAAGGTACCGCGATGGGTGGGACCTTGGCGGAGGGTTGCATCTAACCGCACCAATACCATTTGCTATAGTAGCCTTTCACGTGGAATGCGATTCAAGAGCTTATGGGAACACATGAGCTGATTATGAGGTGAGTCAGACTTATGAAAGAAGAGAAACCAATATGGGTTGAGGAAGGGAACTCAACCCCTCTTTATGGGTGGAACGAACTTCGGTCATGGGCATTTGGGAGGAGACTCACACGTTAGGAAGCTGACGAAAATGGTAATCTTTGAAGGAGAGAATGTTTATAGTTGGTTTTATCATATAGAGAGCTACTTTGTTATTAATGAACTGTCAGAGGAAAAAAAAATTGATGATGGTGGCCCTGTAATTGGACAAAAAGGCTTTAGTGCAGGATTAATGGAGAGAACAACATCAACCAATTAAAACATTGGAAGAATTTAAAGATCGATTATTGGAGCGTTTCAAAATCACATATGAAGGGGATTTACATGATCATTTTTTTGAGTTGGTCCAGGAAGGGGTTGAAGTCAGAGATTTGAGCAACACTTCATCTGCTGAGATCGTGAGGATTGGGGGAAACTATGAAGTGAGCACAATAGGTTGAAGATAAAATGCAATGGAATAGACTAATAGGAACAAAACAAGTGGAGCACCCTACCAAAATGCTATAATCACGATGATACCAAAAAATATAATAGTGGGATTCTTGATGGAGGATCCACGGGGCAGGAATAATGGGCCAAAACTGCGGGCGACATTCAAAGACCTTACAGAGATAGGTATTCAGGAGAAGCGAGATAAAGAATTATGTTTTCAATGTGACGAGAAATTTGCACTAGAACATTGTTGTAAGGATCATACCTTATAGATTCTCACTGCTTGTGACGAGAAGGCAGGAGATGAACAAACAAAGGAGTTTATGGTAGAGGAGGAGGGACACCCTCACTTGGATGTGATGTAAGTTTCATTGAACTCGTGGTGGGGTTTAGACCAAACCACACTATAGAACTTCGGGGCAGATTAGAGAGCATGACTTGGTGGTGTTGGTAGATAGTGGGGCCACCCACAATATCATCTATACTCAAGTAGTGAAACAATTTGGGCTTGAGATGGTTGACACAGTAAGTTTTGGAGTCATGATAGGGATTAGACGTGTGGAGAAAAGCTGGGGAGTTTATAAAGTAGTGATTTTAACATTGCAAGGTATTCAGGTGATGGAGGATTTTTTTCCCTCGGATTTTGGGAGCACTGACGTGCTATTGGTTTAGAAATGTTTGTAGTCCACAGGAGAGACTAAGATGAATTGGAAACTCCTGATGATTGAGTTTCAAGAGGGAGACAATATGGTGGTTTTTCACAGCGATCTTAGTTTGTACAAGACCTTGGTGACACTCAAGTCCATGGTTAGAACAATATTGGACAAAGGGTTGGGATTCTCGTAACAGACAAATGACACAGAGTTGGCAGAGGCTCTGACATCTACCCAACAACTCGTACAACAAGTTGCAGAAAATTTTCAATTACCTTGCAGATCGCCGCCTTGGATAGATCACAAGCATTTAATAACTTTGAGACCGTGGGTTTTTCTTATCAGTGCGTGCCCTTACCATTACTCCTAGTGTTTCCTCTCTTGCACCATGAGGATAAGATTATTTTTTTTGGGAGGGGAGAAATAATGCTAGACCGACGCCTACGACGTTGTCTGCCTCATGCTCCACTGAGTTGACATCTAACCCGCCAAATAATTTGAAGATTTGTGTTAGGCTTAAGACTAAAAGGACATTTTAGTCATTTGTTAGTTATTATTATGGGGTATAAATAGGGCTTAATATGTTTAGAGTTAGATTATGTATGTGATTGCTGTATTGAATCTAGGGTTAGGGTTTGGCAGAGATCATTTGCCTCTCAAATTGTCGTTGTTTAGCTTTTATGTATTCGTGATTGTATTGTTTTGATTTAATACCAACAGAATAAAATCTATTATTTCTGCCATATTTTTGTGAAAGCTTGTTCGTTCTTATCATATTGGTAACAAAACCTAGATGTTTATGCTGGAAGTAAAAGATAAACGGAAATAAATAATGCCAAATTATTATTACACTGCAGAAACTAAAAGGTAAAGCTACTTATTACACACAACATTTATAAATAACGTCTTACCACATGGATCATCAACATCATTATCACCATCAACCTCGTGCCATTAATTTCAGTTGATTTTAGGAATCTTTATCATTTCATTCCTCTACTAAATGTTGCAAGAGACGTGAACTCTGCTTTCAGTACTTCATTTGCTCAACTTATATTCATGTTGTCTTTGCTACCCTTTTGATCATAACCCTTTAACTCTATCTAATTTGCTTTATTGGTACATGTTATACACTCTGTTATGCATGTCCAAATCAGCTATTCCCCTAGAATCTCTAGTCATATATCATTCTATCATTACAAGGTCTGACATGCCTCCATGTTTTATTCTGATTTTATTGATCTACTTGGATGTATTTAATGTCCTTTTAATTATAATTTTAGAAAATATACATTTGTCTTCATGATACTCGACTATTGCTAGTACTCTTGGGATGTTCAAGAATCTTGATGGAATGTTATGCAAAATTCTGTATCTTTTTCCCATTCCTTATTTTATGAATCTGAAGCTCTTTTTCTCTGAATGTTTCGGAAAAAAATCTTGTTTTTTATTAAAAGAAAGTGAATTTATCATTCAAGCTTTCATTAATGCTTAATTACTTCTGTTATCAAATAAATGAAGTTGTACCAAAAAAAAAAAAAAAACTAGGGAACATTAAGGATGGTTGTAAGAACCTAACTTTTAATTTCTCTTTTTATTTAAATGCATTATTCTCTCTTTATTTACTGAAAGAAATTGAAGTAAATGCGGGACTTATAATTTCCACAGTTTGGTTAATAGTGCCTCTAGTTGAACAACCATATTGCTATATGTGCAACATGATAGTTTATATGCTTCCGTTGTTCTTGGAGATATGTTCGTTAAGTGATACTTAGATGTGGGGATTGTGATATTGATAGCATTTGCATTTTGCATTTTGCCACCCGTCACCGTCCACTGCCGCCTGCCACCTGCCACCTGCCGCCTGTCGTTTGGCGTTGCCGCAACCAAGCTCCCTTTGCTGTAGCTCGCCGACAGCCTCCCTTCGCCGCAGCCCGCTGCCACTGTTAGACAAAAAATGTATTTTGAAATACATTTTTATAATGAAGTTCAAACCAAACAAAAATATAGTCCTACTTTTTCTTACAGTGAACCAAATAACTCACAAGTATTTCAAATACATTATAATCATAGTATTTTGCAAATCTTTTATATTTCATTTCATTTTCAACAGACCAAACGGCCCCATAATGAAGGAGC